CTGGGAGACAAAAGGTAGTAGCCTTGGAGACATAGTGTAGTGGGCTGGGAGACAAAAGGTAGTAGCCTTGGAGACATAATTATATATAATTATTATTATTTGCTTTGGATACCTAGTAACATTGAAGGCATATGGTAGCAGCCTTGGCTACTGAGTGTAGTGGCCATTATGGCAAAGGATAGTGGCCTTGTATACTTAGTGAAGTGGCCTTGGATATATAATCTAGTGGCCTTAGTGACAGATGCCTTGTGTACATAGTGCTGTGGCCTTGGATACATAGTGTAGTGGCCTTGGATACATAATGTAGTGGCCTAGGTGACAAAAGGCAGATGCCTTGCGTACATAGTGCAGTGGCCTTGCAGACTAAAGGTAAAGGCCTTGGATACATAGTGTTGTGGCTTGCAGACAAAAATTAAAAGCCTTGGATACATAGTGTAGTGGCCTAAGAGACACACAAGCAGGTAGTCACAAAGCTGAAATACAAATTTTTCAAAAGAAATGAATGCAAGTTCTAACATAAACGTTATTAGTAAAGAATTCTGCCAAGTGGTTAGATATGATAGATGTACAATAAAACCTGTGTTGTGGTCCAGTAAAACAGGAGCCATTCTTTAGTTCAATGACATGATGATCATGACATGCAACATTTCAATCCTGGAGTGTTTGTAAAATGATAGAGTACTTCAATATTCATGTAAACACCATTGATAATATCTTTTGTATCGTTTTTTGTAATAAACACACCCAGTTATCTAAATGTTAGGCTTTTTGCTATTTATAATAGTGATTAACCTTTGCCAGAAATATAATATAAAACTGAAACTTAGTAATGAACACCAGCAAAATCTGCATATATGTATATTTTGACCAGGCTCCTACATTATTTTACAGTAAAACCTTTGAGAAATTATGTCCTTTGGTAACATTATTAGTAACCTTTATTAATAATGAATGTAATTTTGCAATAACATAAAAGTAAATGCTAAGAAAAATGAAATGGAAAAACAACAATATTGTCACTATTCAATTTTTTACTGCACCCAATATTATTACTGTTTTGTTCAATATAACAACACATAAAATACTAGGAAATAGAAATTAATCAATCTATACTGTTGCACTTCCTGTCACCTCTTTTTGCTCTTTAGCCTTATGCATGAAATACAGTTTCCATTTAATTGTTTGTCTGTTTACAATGAAGCCAATGAGCTATTGAGATTACCTTTTACTTATGCATAGGAAAATCTTAGTTTTAAGTCTGCTAGCAGCAAATTCTATTCAGACCTCGTTGATCAGTATGCATAAAAGCATAATCACTAATTTAATAATGAAATAATTCATAAAATAAAGCAACTTATTCCTTTTGTTGCACCAATACAGCTGGAAAGTTGCCAATATCATTACCATATACCTTGACAATACCTGTGAGACACTTTATAATACAGGGAAAATGTAAATTGCCTAGAAAAGACTATAATTACCATTACATCTCTCTCCTGATCATAATTAATCTTATAATTTCTAGTCAGGTGTAAAATATACTCCCCACATACACATTTCTTTGAAATCATTAGCAATGATTTGCAGATTTATTTAGCAATTAGTTAAGAAATCATAGCATGTAAAACAGAGTACAGGTAAAACATTATGTACTTGATTGCCGTCTTTGATCACTGACAATAGTAATCACAGGAAAAGGTGTGAGAGGGTCAACCTTATAAATATATCAATATACTTCACCAAAGAAAACTGTTGTAACTGATTTATTGAGAATGTTTAGATAAAACACTTTTGCTTTGTACTCCTGATTAAAACATATTTCAAAGGAAGCATGTAATTTGTAATAAAACTGTCTTCTGAACATGCAAAGAGACACATTAGAAAGGGATAAAAGGCAGTAAAATGAGATAAAATTCCCCATAGTTAAATGTTTCTCTCTAATGCTGTCTCAACATGCATGCAAAAGAAAAGAAAATCTGTCATTGTCTAGTGGCTTCAATATAAGTGGGTGGTCTCTAAAACAAGGGGTTATTAAATGATCAATTAATAGTATAATTGAAGCAGCTATTCTTATCAATGCAGCATAATTTTATAATAATTAATAACAAGTATGACAGTGATAAAAATTATTGTTTAGAAATTGATAAGATATTAAGTCACATCAACATAAACTCAACCTCAATTGATTTCTTTCCATCAATACATATGGAGAAGACATCAGGTGCACCTCTAGGTCATATTGAGGAACACATCAGGCGCCCATCTAGGCCATATAGAGGAAGACATCAGGTGCCCCTCTAGGCCATATAGAGGAAGACATCAGGTGCCCCTCTAGGCCATATAGAGGAAGACATCAGGTGCCCCTCTAGGCCATATAGAGGAAGACATCAGGTGCCCCTCTAGGTCATATAGAGGAAGACATCAGGTACCCCTATCCCCTAGGGCATATGAAGGAACACATCAGGTGCCACTCAAGATCACTAGGTCATATGGAGGTAATCATCAGGTGCCCCTTTAGGCCATAATTATGGAACTTTACATCAGGTGCCCCTATAGGACATATGGAGGAACACATCAGGTGTCCCTCTAGGCCATATGGAGGTAAACATCAGGTACCCTGCTAGGACATATGGATATGGATGTTAGCATCAGGTGCCCCTTTGGCAATATGGAGGAACACATAAGGTGTCCCTCTTGGCCATATGGAGGTAAAAATCAGGTGCCCTGCTAGGAAATATTGAGGTAGATATCAGGTGCTCCTGTAGGCCATATGGATGTTAGCATCAGGTGCCCCTCTGGGCCATATGGAGGAAAACATCACGTGCCCCTCTAGGCCATATGGAGGTAAACATCAGGTGCCCTTCTAGGAAATATTGAGGTAGATATCAAGTGCCCTTTTAGGCCATATGGAGGTTAACACCAGGTGCCCCTCTAGGACATATGGAGGAACACATCAGGGGACCCTCTAGGCCATATGGAGGTAAAAATCACATGCCAGATAGGGGATATGAAGGTAGATATCAGGCGCCCCTTTAGGCCATATGGAGGTAGACATCAGGTATCCCTATAGGCTACATAAAGGAACACATCAGGGGACTCTCTAGGCCATATGGATGTTATCATCAGGTGCTCCTCTAGGACATATGGAGGTAGACATCAAGTGCCCTTTTAAATCATATGGAGGTACACATAAGGTGCCTATCTAAGCATTATTTCAGGCATCAAGCAGGCACATAAGTAGAACAACTAACCTTCCATACAGTTACATGATAGCTTTTCCACACAAAAGAATCCAAAGCCCCTAGTGGGATTCAAACCAAAAGCAGCAAGGGGAAATCATAAACATTACTTAACATTGATTTGACACTATAACAGAGCAATGGCATAAATAACTTTCAACCCTTTCACACAATTAAACATTGATTGGACACCATTGCAGATGACATCAATAATCATCAACATTTTTTCACACTGCTAAGTATTAATTGGACACTATAACAGATGGCATTTAGAATTATCAACATTTTCACACTGCTAAATATTGGTATAACACTTTATCTAAGTATCAAAATTTTTAAACTGCTAAATACTAATTTGACACTCTTGAAGATGACTTCAATTATTCTTAACATTCTTACACTGTTTTACACTGATTTGATACTATTACAAATGGCATCAATAATATACATGTATAAATCTTTTTACGCTGCATAAATTCAATTTGACACTTCTAAAAATGAAATTCATAAATTGATATCAACTTAATTACACTACTAAATATTAATTTGACATACTTTATAAATAATTATCAACCTTTGCAGTACAAAATTTGCCTAATTCATCTCACTGCTTTAATTAACATTGATGATGACATAAATTAAAAAAAACCATACATTCTGAATTCAATTAAATGATATTTAGAGCGTTGAACATCATTGTAAAATATCAATAAAAATTAGCATTTTATCATCTGAACTTATATCATAGTCAATCAATTTTAATATATAAATGTATAATTGAAGAAAATAACTGACAACAAGGATAAGGCCCATCAGCTTTCAGATCTGATTCTTTTTCATGCATTTCATGTGTTGTAAAGTTTTATTTGTAATTAAATGTGTATACTTGTTTGAAATAAACTGAAAATTGCTGACAGTCAAACTTTAAAATGAAGGACATCTGTTATGTAAGATCACCTAAAAAAATCTTGTAAAATACAGACCGAAAAATCCAACATTGTAAACAAGCAACTTAAACATATAGCAAAATAACCTGCTTTCATAGACCTTAAATCTCAAGAAAAAAACAACAACAAAAAATGTACAAACAAAAACAAAAAGCACCATTATTTTCACAAATCTGATATAATTTTTAAAATTTCCTGAAAGGCACGTATTTCACAATGTCTGCAATTTGTCTGCCATTTTTAATTTGTTCAAATCTTTTCTTTTTAAAAAAAAATATATGCCCAATTAACACTTTTGAAAACTCTTGGGATAATTAAATGATAAATTTCTGTGACCAAAGGTTCTACTGTAAGCATTTATATATCAGGCACAAATGAACATTAATCTGGAACCACAGACATTTTGTAGATTTTACAAGCTTGAGGGAATTCTTCGAACACACAGCCACATCAGGTGCAGGCAAGTATGATCTAAACTTCAAAAACAATAATTCTGAAATTCTGATTATAACGCTATTGTTTTCTAAATGTTAAAAGTCATCCATGTAAGATAGATCTGAGACAAATTAAATTCCAAAGGTCTTGCTGAAACATTTCATAATTTCATGAAAATGAAAACCAAAAAAAAAACGCAATTGGAAAGAAAAGTCACTGATGATAACATTATACTTTATACTAAAATCTTCATACAAAAACGAAAACGTCATTCTCTACGAACTTTAATTCATAATAAAATACAATATTTTATAAAACTTACCATGAAAATAGATAATGCATAAGACAACAGATCATTTCAACAGAAAATATAACATACCTTTATTTGTAATTCACGATCAGTTGCACACAGAAATCTGAAACGATAGAAGCATACAAAAACTGATAAATTCCTTAATTCCACAAAATATCTGTATCACTGCCTTGAGCATAAAATTCAATTTGACTTCAGTCTCTTTAAAATAAAGTCACATGAATACTTGACAAGCCTTTGTCTTGCCTGACAGTTTCATTGCTGTAAAATTTTGTCAATACAGAATGCATAAATTGTTTTAAAGATGAAGAAAATTGTAGGAGATAGACCTTGTTTTTCACAAATTGTTTTTGCTACTGTGAAAAAAGATTCTTCGGATATTTACTAATAGATTCGTCATGGAGATATCTCTTCAAAATAAACTGTGGCCGTAGAAAATAAGTACAAACTACTAGTAGTCTTAATACATTGTTTAATGTAATATAAAAATAAAAAAATGATGTCTTCCCTCATTTTATTTTCTATTAGTGTCAATATTTTTCACCAGGTTTTAAATATAAATCAAACTGTAACTAAGGAAACAAATTTATCAGTGTTATCAGAATCATACAATGTCATAAATTAACAAGAGCTTCTCCTGTCAGAGATAATACATTCACAGTATTAACTATTGTAACATGTACAATATTAAAATGTGATAGAACTCAACTGAAAAACAAATAAAACATAGAAACAAGTGACAATTATTGATCACATAAGAATTTAACGCAATCATAATTGTCACCTTGACCTTTGACATATCAACCTCGAAATCAGTAGAGGTCATGAACAGTAACTTGCTCTGCCCAATGTCCTTACAAAATAACACAAACATAGGCTTACACCTTCTCAAGTTTTTTTTAATCAGACAAACCTTTACACTAAATGCCACTGAGATCATTAAACTTCTTTTACCATATGGTCTCATAAAGATCACTAGAACTCCGCGAGTCGGATGTGTCGCCTTGTGAGCAATGTAGTTTAGGAGAAATGGCCCGGACAAAAATGAAGTATGAAAAATAACAAAGGGCAATAACTAAAAAAATAATAAGTGCAGATCAGCAGTTTCTGTGCACTGCACTTCTTATCAATAAGATCTATCATTCTATGACGTTTCAAGTCCATAGCTTTCATACTTGAGGAGAAATGACCAGGACAAAAATAAAGTAAGAAAATCAACAAAGGGCAATAACTCAAAAAATAAGAAATGCAGAATATCAGTTCTTATGCACTGCACTTTTTCTTAATGAGATCTATCATCCTATGAAGTTTCAAGTCCATAACTTTTATACTTTCGGAGAAATGGCCTGGACAAAAATTAAGTATGAAAATTAACAAAGGGCCATAACTCAAAAAATTAGAAATGCAGAGTACCGGTTCTTGTGCACCGCACTTCTTCTTAATGAGATCTATCATCCTATGAAGTTTCAAGTCCATAGCTTTTATACTTAAGGAGAAATGACCCGGACAAAATTAAAGTATGAAAATAAACAAAGGGCAATAACTCAAAAAATAAGAAATGCAGAGTACCTGTTCTTGTGAACTGCACTTCTTCTTAATTAGACCTATCATCCTATGAAGTTTCAAGTCCATGGCTTTTATACATTAGGAGAAATGGTCAGGACAAAAATAAAGTATGAAAATTAACAAAGGGCAATAACTCAAAAAATAGGTAGTGCAGAGTACCGGTTCTTATGCACTGCACTTCTTCTTAATGAGATCTATCATTCTATGAAGTTTCAAGTCCATAGCTTTTTTAGTTGAAGAGAAATGGCCCGGACAAAATTAAATTATGAAAATTAACAAAGGGCAATAACTCAAAAAATAAGAACTGCAGAGTACTGGTCCTTGTGCACTGCACTTCGGGTTATTGAAAGAAGCATGCATACCAAGTTTGAAGTCAATCAGACTTATAGTGACTGAGTTATGCTCCGGACAAGCTTTAGGGGCCGCCGACAACGACGCCGACAACGACGCCGCCGACAAAAGTAACCCCTATATGTCACCTTTTCAAGGCGACACAATAAACTGGCCATGGGAAAATGTCCCTACCAAGTTCCACTTACATAGGCTCTTGTCTACTTGATCAGAAAAGGATTTTATACAAAAAATCAATATGACCTTGACCTTTGACCCTATGGCTTTAAAATCTACTGACCAGAAGAATGTCCATAACAAGTTTTACAAACCTTAGATTCAGGTCTTTCTAAATTCATGTTCAAAATTCAATTAATTGCCACCTTGACCTTTGATGTCAGAATCAATAGGGGTCAGCTACAAACTAATGTTCCAATCAATTTTCATATTACTTGGCCTACTTGCTCTCAACTTATGGAGAGGACAATGGTTTTCCACTAAGTGCCAATGTGATCTTTACCTTTGACCCAATTGGAACTCAAAATCAGTAGGGGTCATTCAATGACAATAGTGAATGCCCCAAATATTATAATTAATCTTCTTAGACTGTCCACTACACTGTCCTCATTGGATATAATGAGATCATAGGGACTATGCTTAATTCCTTGTTATATGGACCATTCCAGTGTTTACAGTTTTATGAAAATTGGCTTACTTGTTATCCAATTTGTACACTGAGATAATACATAGCCACTGGTTGACCTGGTTTGCACAAAAGAACACATGGTTTTGCCTGATACTGCTTGTGAGCAGTTGACCTAGCAATGAATTGAAAAGGTGTGGCTAAATGTTCCGCTACAAAAAACCGGAAAGGTCAATTGGTGACCTCTTGTAATGGGACCAAACATATTCAAAAATCCATAAATTTCAGGCTATTTTTTTTCTTCTTTTGTTTTAATTATCATACCTTCTAGAGTAATAAAGGCTGGTAACACTGAATTTTAATGCAAGGATATTGCTTTTTTTAGTAAGCTTTCTAAATTTTCGTTTTTAAATTTTCGTGAGTGCTTAGCATGTACTTTTCATGATTGTGCACACAGCATAACTGGTGTGACATTTTTGATAAACACTTATGAAACATTTCATGGTACATTTCATCATCTATAGCACAATTTAGCCTGTAGAACAATTTAGCCTGTATACTAGCCTAACAATCCAACTATTGATCAATTATTATTACTTTGATCATTTGCAATGGGACAAACTGGCACAGACAAGGTGCGAAACACCTGACCTTGTTATAACTTGTAAAAATTGCTCATGGAACAATGAATATACCTTACCTAAAACAGATCCTCTTATAAACAAGGGAAGTAAAAGGGAAATGGCCAAGACTCAGCAAAATTTATAAGTGATGTACACTGTACAATGGTTTCATGGCCTTACACTTTTATAATGGTGGCATTTTGAGAGTTTTAAATCACAAAATGTACAGAAAATGTTGCAGAAAGAAAATAACTCTTTCAATCACAGAAAGCCATTATTTATCTTCCTCCAATCTACAGCCAATCATCATGTAGGGACATGGTGTCTGTAAATAAGAAAAAACAATCACTCTCTGATATTGGTTTATCAAATTTGATGGTGTTACAATAATCTATCTTATTTTCACCATGTCAACGAGACAGAGAAACAAGAATTACTTCAGTCTCATTGACATCTGAGATTGATTACAAAATGATAACAAATATGGTCACTTAATTCTAAAAATCCGGCAAGGATTTACTGAATGTATCCTGACCACTTGAAATTTAACCTTTTATGTTTGATGCAAACATTACAATGCAATTAGATAAGTTTAATATAATTAATAAACCTTATATTTTCCAACTAAATGTAACCTTCCAACTAAAAGTTAGTTTCCATCGTACACTTCATTAACCATTTACAAAAAGTACTGTGTTAATTATTTTTCCTTTTTTTTTTTGTTGTTTGATCATTTTTGATTTTACATCATACAGACACAGTTACTTCAAATGAAAATAAATGATAACTACAATTATCATAAACATTAGTAATATAACTAAGCAGCCAAAAATGTATAGGAATCAAAACACTTGGTATTAATTAATGACTGAAAATTGGTGGACAGATTTTCAAGGTGTCGAGGGAATTATTCTCAAAATTTGCATAAAAGTTATCAGTCTAGACCAGATAGATCAAATGGTACACAAATCTCGGATTAGTTCCAGTCATGTCAAAAACACCTCAGTGGAGTCCCTTTTAAGTTGTTTTAAGTCAAAATATTATGTTCATATAAATTAGCAATTTTCAAAATATTCTATATCATTCAAAGGTGGTAAATTAAAACCTCAAAAGAACTTTTTTACATTTTTATTTAAAGTGTATGAAGTTTTATACTTGCTACCCATGGATTGTAAATATATTATTTCTACAGTGATTAAAATGATTACTGAATACTTAAAATGAAAGAAACTTGTCAGATTTTTTTATTAAAAGCAAGAGGGAGCATGCATGAAATCATCACCAAACCTACTTAAACTTGCAGCTGAATATTTAGCCCAGATTTTTTTCCTGTTTTACATACATTATGTTTGTCAAATTACAATGGCATTCATCGTTTCAAGTTTTTCAATAAATGACTATAGGATTAAGAAAACAATATATACTGTTTTTAAATTGTTTATAAAATATTTCATCTGATAATTAGCTTTAAATAATTACAGTATTATTCAAAATCAGAGATATATAAACATGTACTAATTATATAGATACATAATTATCAGAATCAGTTGAAAAAAAAACAACATAATACATAATATGAATAGGAACTTAAATTTGAAGTACTATAAATAATTAAACTTTAAAAAAAGAACTGATTTTTTTTTTATCCCAAAAACAAAATAATATTACCTTAATGATATTGCAGAGAAAGCAAATTAGACATAATTCCGAGGAAAACATTGTAACTCTGTTATGTAAATTGAACGGCCGTTCAAAGTAAAGTTACAATTACATCGAAAGATTTTATGCATGACACACAATAAGCAGTGTTTTCAGTAACAACAATTTGTAAACAGACCATTGTCATCTTAGCAGACAAGAGGAAAATATTCAACAATTTAATAAAAGTGTTATCTCATGCGAAAACCTTTTCAATAAGACTAAACCATAGGAATCCAAACA